TGGGGAGGGCTGACGCTCCTTCGCGTCGCCAGCAAGACTTTATTGAAGGTCCAGGGTTTATATAATGCAGTGGGGTTACATGACTCCAGGACATAGCATTGTCCAATAGACAATCAAGCACAGTGTTGACGTCAGCGGTAACCGGGCAGAGGTAGGCTCAGCAGAGTTCCGTTAGTTGCTCATGGAATGCGTGACCAGGATGTTCTTTGTTCTCCATTGCCACCACATCAGCAAGTGTGGGAAGGGCATAGCCAGAAGCAGGGGCGGTGTTTCCACACATCTTCAAGGTCTCCCTATTTTCAGAGTGAGGAGTCTTGGCTCTTCTTCGAGGACAAGATATGCTTTTGTGGGCAGATGACTTCCAAGGACAGCACGGGCTGTTCTCAAGCTTGTGCTTTCCCACGTTGCGTTCAGACATGGGGGAAGGGACATAGCCCCGGCTCCCAACAATTGAGTTCCCTATACAGAATTTTATTGTTGTTAACAACCATTTGATCAATAAATATGAGATGCCTGCTCAAAAAAAAAAAAAATTGTTGCTCCTTTTCCTCATCCAGCCCACCATCTGCTCAGCATGATTTAATGTTCTTCCAATACATTTATTAGGCAGGTGAATTCAGAGGTCTGCTCCTTTGGCTTTCTGGAACTCAGCACACAAACAGGCAGCGACCTCTCCAGGTGGCTGGAAAAGAAGATGAGAGGAGCCATTTGCATGCCTTGCAAGGGACTAGAAATGAAGTAAGACCAAGTCCCCCAGTCTGGATCTAACTCCGGCGGCAGAGACGGTAGCCTCAGCAATCCTCCCTGGCCAGTCTGCCTGCCACCCACTCCCCGGCCACTGTGGGCTGAGGCCCTGGCGCTGATCAGCAGGTGGAGCGGACATGATATATGCCAATTCTGGTCCGAAGTCCTTGGGAGTGGGGTTGGGTGCCCAGACTCTGTATCCTTGTGTGCTGGGGTCCCTGAGGTCCCTCCACAGAGCAGAGGAATCCTAGAACATTAGCCCACTAGATTTCTGAGTTCATGTCACCACAATACACTTTCATCTACTCTGCCTGATAAACTTGGTCCAGTGACTTAAACTTCTGCACTCTGGTCTCATCATTTGTAAAATGAAGATGAGAATACTTACCACTAAGGGTTGAGGCTGAGAGATTAGAGGATCGGCTTAATGCGCAGTGAACATAATATTGACCATAGGCATCATAATGTTTGCCTACCAAGCCTCTGTCTGGCCACATTTATCACCTACCTTATCAAAACCAAACACATAATTTCCTTCCTTACAGAAATGAGTGTTATCATAGAATAGAGGCAAACATTCTTTTTAAAATTATAATAAGACTTTAATCTAAATGAGGCTCTCTCTCACTCTACTGCTCTTAATGCCGAGCAGAAGGTGTCTGGAGCCCTCTGGAAAACTGGCTGTGGCCCCACGGAAGCCCAAACACCCAGCGTATACTGAATCCCTACCTCACGTCGTACACAGAGAAGAAGTCCATGTGGATTAAATAGCAATTGGAAAACATAAAGTTGTAAAGCTGAATAAAAAGACGCAGGACAATATATTTGTGGCTGAAATGTGGGAGGGGCTTCGTAAACAAGACTCAAAAACCACAACAGGTAAAGCAAAAAACTGGTGGGCTTAATGCTATCAAGAGCAAGACTTTTCTTCACAGAAAGATATGATAAGAGTGACACGGAAGAGATCTGGTGCACCATCTAAAATGACAAGAGATTCCTATCAGATCAGATGATTCAAAAGAAGCAAACATGGGAAAAATATATGTGTGTGTCTTTATGCAGCGATTTCTGTAGATAACCCCGTAAAGAATGGGTGACTTGAAGAACACACTGACAATAGTACTCCCCTCCATCACTGGTCCTTTTAACTTTGAACATGGTCTTTTTCTTGATATTCAAAAGTTTTCGATTTTAACATACCTGAATTTATCCTGTCTCTTCCTTTTATGTCTCATTTAAGAAATCCTCCCTCACCTGAATTGATAGATGTACTTTCCAATACTTCCAATACATCCCAAAAGTGTACGGTTTTGGTTTTCATTCTTTAAGTTCTGAATGCACATGGAATTTGTTTTTCTGTAAGGTATGAAGTACGGAGCTGGCTTTGCTTTATTTCGACAAGATTATCCAACTGGCCTATCATTTCCTTTCTCGGTGAGACCCTGGCTCCACGTTCCCTGGCACTGCAAGGACTCCGTCCTGGGACAGACAGCGTTGTCCTCAGCCTCACATCCTCGGGAACCTCAGAACGTGGGTGCGCTTGGCACAGGGCCTCTGCAGATGTGATCCAGCCGAGGGGAGGGCACCGTCAAGGAGGGCGGTGCCCACGAGGGGGGAGAGAGGCACACACGTGCAGGAGGCGGCCACACGACAACAGAGGCAGGGACTGCAGTGATGCAGCCACAAGCCAGGGACTGCCAGACACTGTCAGAGGCATCAAGAGGAGGGGAAGGTCTCTCTGGGGCCTCTGGAGGGAGCCCAGCCCTGTGCCACCTTGATCTTGGCCCTCTGCCTTCCGGACTGTGAGAGAATGAACTTCTGTGGTTTTAGGTCATACACTTTGTAGCAGTTTTTGCCAGTGGCCACAGGAAACTAACAGCCTCCCTCTGTCACCCTGCCCATCCCCCCGACAGAGGACCAGCTGCAGGAGAGCTGGCTGAGCACTGGCACGGGTGCTCTGCCTTGGGAGGAGGTCACGGGCATGCCCGGCTTCCAGCCCAGCTCTGCTGCTCACCAGCAGGGGTGGGGGCCAGCAAGGTGACCTCACTGTCCTTGGGGTCCTCAGCGGTACTGGGGTTAATGGAGCCCTAAGGGGCTGCTCTGGGAGAGGCTTGGGGCAGCCTGGCTGGGAAAGACTCTGTCATTGCTGCTACTTCAGACTTGCTCACAGCTGTCTTCCCACCTGAAAGGAAAGGAGCGACCCACAGCAGCAATTCACGGGAGAATTCCGCTTTATTAGGGAAAGCTGCTGGGTTATATAGGAAGGAGCATGAGCTGATTGAGGTGTCACTTCTATGGGGCTGGTGGCTGTTGGCCAGGTGCTGGGAGTGGGAGGGAGGAGAGAGGTGATTGGGCTTCAGGTGGCGCCGGCGGGAACTGAGGACCTGGAAGAGAAGCTGGAAGTTTGCCATCTTACTAGTGGCATCTCACTACCTGTTTCAGATATATCAGGACCTTGACCCACAGGTCCAGAAGGACACGGAAGGGTCAGGTGGCGGGCGACCGCTCTGGGACTGGCCTCCTTCACTTGCTGCGGCCTGCAGGCCATCGACATCCTCCGGGCTCCCCCAGGTGCTAGTGAGGGTCGGGGCCTCCGACACCATATGTAAATCGTCTGCAGACAGGCCCCGGTTTTCCACCGTGAGGAATGGAGGCCCTGCATGATGGATCTGGATGCATGGCGTGCTGCACGCTGACTTATCAGTCAACTAAAAAACAAGATGTTTTGAGATGCGTGATGAGCCACACGTGCCCTGAGGAGGTCGGGGCCCAGGGACCCTGAGGTGGCAGGCTCTGGAGCAGGCACAGCAGGACTTGCGGGGCCAGCATGGTCCCAGCTCTGCCTGGCCACTGGCCTGGCTGGCTTCAGCCAAGGCACCTTGGGGCCTTTTTGGTGCCTCAGTTTCCCCACTGTGGGTGGACTCTGCCAGAGTCTAAGGCTCTCCAGCTCAGGGCCCTTGGCTCCTGTTTGGCCACAGAACCACTAGCAGCCTTAATCCCCGGGCACTGGAAGGTGTCTAGGAGCCGGCATGGCCACCTCTCAACCCCGGGGCTGGCCGAGCCTTGGCGGGAGGAGCACAGCTCGCCCCGGGCTGCACTTACCATCTCCTCGCTTCCACTGCTGACTCCTGTGAACACAGACAGCAGGCTTGTGGTTAACAGACGGCAGGGAGCCCGCCCTGTGACCCCCCGCGTGGGGGGTGGCTGAGGCCCTCCTCACCGCCAGGGCTTCCCCAGGGAGGCTGCAGGAATGAGCCTGGCCAGGCCTCGCTGACTGCGTCATCTAGTTCCACAGTTCCTGGAACTTCCCAGAGAACTGCAGCTCTCCGCACCATTTTGCCGGCAGCCAACCTCCTCCTTCCCGCTGAGCCTGCCCGGACCTACCCTGCCGCTGAGATTGCCCTGGGACTCCACTGACCATGCTCGCTGCCCCCAGCATTGCGACGACTTTCAGAGGCACGTCCTCCCCAGGGTTAGGAGGGGCCTCAGCACACGGGAGCCAGATGGTGGCCAGCAAAGGTCAGGCCCTGTCATAACTCAGGCCCCCCCAGGACCTGCCCCACAGCCCAGCTTGTCACTTTCTCCCGTCCAGCGGTCTGATGGGATGCTTCATACCCTCGGGGCAACAACGGCACCCGGCCGAGATGCCGTCTTCTGGTTTTGCGGCGTAGACAAAGGCGAGGACCAAAATAACCAGGAGAAAAAGAAAGCTCCCGATCAAAAACCACCGGTGTCTGCTCACTGCAAGGGGAGGAAACCAGAGACGTCACAATGAGGTCCGATACTGGCTGCTTCCTGAGCAGCCACAGGATAAAGAACACAAACAGGTCCAGCAATCCCACTTCTGGGAAGTTACCCGAAGGCAAGGGGGACACCTGCAGCCCTTGCTCATGGCAGTGATACTCACAACAGCCAAGAGGCGGGGACAGCCTGGTGTCTGCTGAAGGATGAACAGACAGAGAAGATGTGGTGCGTATGCACAGTAGAATATTACTCAGCCATAAAAAAGGAGGAAATCCCGCCTTTTGCGACAACTAGATGATCCTAGAGGGCATTATGCCAAGTGAAATAAGTCATACAGAGAAAGAGAAATTCGGTATGACCTTACTTAGATGTGGAATCTAAAAAAACAAACAAAACAAAACAAAAAAACCCAAAGAAACCAGATTGATGGTTACCAGAAGCCTGGGGTGGGGGATGGGGGAACTGGATGAAGAGGGTCAAAGGCACAAAGCTCCAGTATGATAACTAAGTCCTGGGGTGTCACGTATGGCACATGACTGTGGTTAATGCTGCTGTTTGGTATATTTGAAAATTGCTAAGAGTAGATTTTAATAGTTCCCACTGCTAGAAAAAGAATCTGTTTTCTTTTTGGTACCCACACGAGATGACAGATGTTAGCTAAACCTGATGTGGTCATCATTTCAAAGTATATGCAAGTCAGATCACTGTGCCATACACCTTAAACTTATCTGGTGCTGTACATCAATTGCGTCTCAATAAAACTGGGGGAGAAAGAGCAAATAAACAAACATCTCTGCTAGCTGGCTCGGTGGACACGGGAAGAGGCCCAGTGCGCAGGCATCTTCCGGCTGGCCTGCCTCTCCTGGAGGTGTGTGTTGGGAGAGGGGAGGCTGCCCCAGGCTGGCATACCTGAGGGCAAGTAGGCCTGACCTCTCTCCCAGGGTGGCACGCTGGTAGCAGGGCTCAGACAGGTCCCGAAGGAGTTGTTCAGCCTCACAGCTATTTGAGGAAATGGTGCTCTGATGCCTACCCTGAGGGGACGTCCTGGTGGCGCAGCTCAGGAGAGCTCCCGGGTGGGGGCTGGTCACAGGCAGGCCAAGCCAGGGCTAGCAGGTGGACTCTCAGCCCCACTCCCATCTTCTGGGGAGGGAAGGAAGGCTGGAAATGATTAATAATCGACCACACCTACGTGACGAAGCCTCCATAAAAATCCCCAAAGTATGGGGTTCGGAGAGCTTCCGAGCTGGCGAACTAACCTAGTGCCAGGTGGGTACCATGCCCCAAGTCCATAAACCAGTAAATGGAAGAAAGTGTTCCCCTGACTTCCGTGAGCTGTTTCAGCAAATGACTGAATCCAGGCAGAGGCGATGCTATGCCCTCTGATTCATTCCTCTGATTTGTAGCCAAGTCGGACAGAAGTCGTGGGGAACCCAGGGACCCATTACTTTGATTGGCATCTGAAGGGGGGCAGTCTTGTGGGACTGAACCCTTAACTTGGGGGGGCTCACATGACACACTGGCTTTCCATGGTTTCAGGCCTCCAGTAGGGATGGGGAGGCGCCACTTTTCCTCAAGAGGTTATTTCCTTATTTTTAAATTGTGTTAAAAGTTATTTAAAATAATTTTTAAATGCAAATTACACATACATAGAATCGACCACCTTAACCATTTTAAGTGTACAGGTCTGTTTCTTTGACTACAAACTTGCCGTCCAGTGCATTCCATACTAATGGAATCATGACATGTGACCTTTACTGTGGCTTCATTCAAACTCTGTCGCGCCGAGGTCCATGGATACAGTGTGTGTCAGTACTTCATTCCATTTTATGGCTTAATAATGTTCAGACATGTGTGTATGTATGTTGGAATACCCTGCATTTATTACTTATTCATCTGCTAATGGATTTGAAAAAATTTTTTAAAGAAATAAATCCTGGAGCCAAGACCATTCTGTGGAAAAGGTAGCTTGTTCAATAAATAGTGTTGGGAAAATTGGGTATCCACATGCAAAGAATGAACCCGGACCTTTACTTGACACTATAGCAAAATTTAACTTAAAATCAAAGACCTCAGTATAAGAGCTAAAACTATAAAACCCTTAGAAGAAAACAGAGGAAAAGCTTCATGATACTGAATTTGGCAGTGATTTCTGCACTGGCTGCACAGGAAACAAAAGCAAAAACAGACAAATGAGGCAATGAAAATAAAACGCTCCTCATTTCAGACCCAAAGACATACACAGCCTAAAAAGTGAAGGGATGGAAGAAGGGATGCCATGCAGACAATAGGGGGAAAAAAGCAGGACTTATAGTACTTGTATCAGGCAAAATTGATTTCAAAACAAAGAAAGTAACAAGAGACAAGGACATTACGTAATGATAAAGGGCTCAGTCCAACAAGAGGATATAACATAACCATTATAAGTATCTTTGTATCCACCACAGGAGCACCTAAATATGTAAAACAGGTACTAACAGAATTAAAGGAGGAAATAGATTGCAACGCATTCGTTTTAGGAGACTTCAACACACCACTCACTCCAAAGGACACATCAGCCAGACAGAAAATAAGGAGACAGAGGCCCTGAACAATATAGAACAGCTGGACCTAACAGACATCTACAAAACTCTACACCCAAAAGCAGGATACACATTCTTCTCAAGTGCACATGGAACGTTTTCAAGAAGAGATCACCTACTAGGCCACAAGAAGAGCCCCAATAAATTCAGAGATTGAAATTCCATCAAGCACCCAGACCACAATGGTATGAAACTAGAAATAAATCACACGAAGCGAACAAAAAAAGTCCACAAAGACATGGAGGAGGCTAAACAACATGCTTCTAAATTATCAATGCATCAATGAACAAGTTAAAACAGAGACCAGGCAATACCTGGAGACAAATGAAAACCAAATACAACAGCCCAAAACCTGTGGGACTTACTTTAATGATAAACAGGCAGCTGAAGATACCTGGCACTGGATGGAAATAAGTGGACTGATGGATGTGTGACTATTTCCAAGGCCTGGTGATGTTCCGAGTGAGGCGGGAAGGGTGGGGCTCCCATTCTGAGCTGAGCAATGGGTGGACAGCACTGTCATTCCCAGGGACAAAGACCCCAGGGAATATAAACCCAGGGGAGGAGCGGCTTCTCTGGCCCCTGATCCCCATCCCAGAGCCCCTCCTCCCACAAATCACATCCTTGGGGTCCTAGTCTTCCCCTGTGCATGACATCACCTCCCAAGGACATCATGCCCAAGGTCGAGTACCCATTGGAGTAAGAGGAAGCTCTTTTTAACATGTAAAACTTTAACAGGTGAAAAAAAACCCACATTCCAACCTGCACAAACTTGATACTTGTACCCTGACACTTTAAAAACATTAAGGCAAACGGTCTAAACTCACAATTAATGAAACTAGAAAAAGAACAAATGAGCCCAAAGCCAGTAGAAGACATAAATAAAATCAAGAAGAATAAAACAATAGAAAGAATCAATGGAACCAGGAGCTGGTTCTTTGAGAAAATCAACAAAATAGATAAACCCCTAGCCAGACTTATCAAGAAAGAAGGAGTACACACATAAACAGAAAAAGCATTTGACAAAATTCAACATCCATTCATGATAAACTCTCAACAAAATGGGTATAGAGGGCAAGTACCTCAACATAATAAAGGCCATATACGACAAACCCGCAGCCAACATGATACTGAACAGTGAGAAGCTGAAAGCTTTTCCCCTAAGATCAGGAACAAGACAGGGATGCCCACTCTCCCCACGTTTATTCAGCATAGTACTGGAGGTCCTGGCCACGGCAATCAGACAACACAAAGAAATAAAACGCATCCAGATTGGCAAGGAAGAAGTTAAACTGTCACTGTTTGCAGATGACATGATATTGTACATAAAAAACCCTGAACAATCCACCGCAAAACTAGTAGAATAACTACATTCAGCAAAGTTGCAGGATACAAAATGAATACACAGAAATCTGTTGCATTCCTATATACTAATAATGAACAAGCACAAAGAGAAATCAGGAAAACAACTCCATTTACAATTGCATCTAAAAGAATAAAATACCTAAGAATAAACCTAACCCAGGAGGTGAAAGACTTGTACTCTGAAAACTATAAGATACTCATGAGATAAATTAAAGAGGACACCAAGAAATGTAAATCTATCCCATGCTTGTGGATAGGAACAATTAATATTGTCAAAATGGCCATCCTGCCCAAAGCAATATACAAATTCAATGCAATCCTTAAAAAAATACCAATAGCACTCTTCAATGAACTACAGCCAATAGTTCTAAAATTCATAAGGAAAATAAAAAACTCCTATGCATCAAAGAATGCCCAATTGACAGAGAGAAAGGCAGCCCACAGGATGGGAGGAAATACTTGCAAATCATGTATCTAATCAGGGAATAATATATAAAAAAATATCGCAACTCATCAATGCCCCATTTTAAAAATGTATGTCTACAGAAAGCAGGTTATAGTGTTTACAAGGGATGAGGGAAGGAGAGAGTGGGGAGTCAGCTTTTACTGGGTACAGAGATGCCTTCTGCGGATGACCCAAATGTTTTGAAACTAGACAGAGGTGGTGGTACTAAGCGCCATTCAGTTGTTCACTTTAAAATGGTTCATTTTATATTGTGTGAATTTCATTAAAAAATATACACATTTGGGAAAAAGAAAAAGCACCCAGATCTCTTACGTGGGTCAGGCAAGCTGCACACCGTGTCTGCTGTAGCATTGCATTTCTGGAGGGCAACACTCCCTCTGGGACACCTGCGGGGAGAGAGACGCCCTCAGTGTTGCTCCTGCCATGTCTGCCCAGGCTCACCAGCACGCGGAGCCCTGGCATCAGCCACAGGAGGTGCCCGGAAGGGGTTGTCATGAAGCAGCGTGCATCCCCCTGCACGCCGTGGCCAGAGACCCCAGGAAGGGCCCTGGGAGCATGCTCACCCTGCACCAGCAGCTTGGCCATCCTCACCAGCATTCTCGCTAAGAGGAGGAAAATCTATGCATTTTCCTCCTCCATGAATGCTGATGGCCTTGTTTGCAGGCACATAGTCTGGAGAAAAAGGCATTTGCATTACTTTTTTCACAAAGGCCCAGGAATATACAGGGTTCTTCCTAACTGCTGCAAGGTGCACACTTACAATTCATTCTCATTTCAGTAGTTTTGAAGTGGCAGGTAGATTTGTTCAGATCCAGGATGACTTACTGACTTGCTAACAGAGCTCACAGCTCTCACAGCCCTCTGCACTGCCCTGGAGGCTGACAGCTGTGGATCGCTGTGTGTCACTTCACCAGCCCATGCTCTCCTGCATACCCAGGTCCCCTACCTTCCTCCAGGCATGAAAGAGTTTGATTCCAGAATCATAAAGCAAAAAAATGCCGCAGAAGTCTCAGGTCAGATACCCTTTAAGGCACTGAGAATGCGGTCCACCTGTCACTTTGCCATCCAGCTCTGGAGAAGGTGGGCATGCAGGTCCTGCGTCCTCTAGGCCAGAGAGGCCCTACACCCCAGTGCCTCTGGGGTGAGACCTCGGGCGGCTTGTCAGCATCTTAGGTGCCAGGGAACACGGGTATGAGGACCCCAGATTCCAGACGGGGGTACTTTCCCAACCAGAATTCAACGCAGAGCTGGTCAGTAGATGTGAGGCAGAATAAAGGCCTTTCTGAAAGGCAACACCCCGAGTCTACGTCCTGCATCCTTTCCTAGGCTGTGATGTGAGGATGCCCGTCAGCAAAGCAGAGAGGCACATGGAGAGAGGTGGAGGCGGGGGGCAGAAGTTAGGCGGGCAGCAACGGGGGTTGCGCACCGACAGCCGCAGCAGACCTTGAAGAGGTTAGTCCAGCAGGGGACCAAGGGCCACAGGCTCCATGACAGGTGACAGGCAGACAGGGGGATGGAAAGCTGAGAAAAAGTAAGGCGCAAAAAAGGCAAACAATGCGTCAAAACTGGGAAAGGAATCAGGAACAAGAAAGAAGGGTGTAAAATGGAATTTACCCAAACAGGAAATAACCTGGAAATCAGCGCAATGTTACGGCACAGAAACAAGAACCTCAGTGGCTGGTGCGTGAGTGGCCCCAGGGCCGATGCTGACTGAACTCACCTGTCGGAAGTCACACGTCCTACCGGCTCTCAGCCCCGAAAGAACAACCCCACACAAGCCCAGGTCCTGGGCCCCCTCCCATCCCCGCCAAAGGCACCTTTGCGAGTGTCACCTACGTGCTACAAGGGCTGCAAAACTCAAAAAAGTCTTTGTGGCGGTAGAAATGACCGGTTTGGCAGCGGCACACGCGGTTGCTGGTTGACGTGCAGTCCACCACCATCTCTTCATCTGCAATTTGGGGAAGACTGGTCAGTCTGAGGGCCCGCCCATCCTCGTGTGTGTTCCTGGACCCCCGTGAGAACTCGGAACAGTGTGGCCGTGGTGCGGAACTCCGCCAGCCACAGCACACGCATTGCGGCGGCCCGGGGGGTACTGAGCACTGCTGGGGGAGCCTCACCGCGACCTCACCACGTGTCTCCTAGAACCTCCGGCTGGCTCAGAGGGCTTGCGGGTGCCCCTTGGAACCGCAGTCTCATGTTACCAGGGGTGGGACACTGTGCACGGCCACCACCAGGGCAGGGAGCATGGAGTTCTGTGGCCGCACATCTCTTCTTTACCCAAGTGCTGAGTTAGCAGGCATTTGGCTTTCCCCAAAATTTCCCAGATAAACAGTGAACGTCCTTGGGCTGAATACTTAGACTTAACATGAAAGACTTTTTGAGGGCACATTCCTAGCCTGGAGACCACCAGGTCCAGGGGCCTCAGATTTCCAGGTCAAGGAAGGCGCCTGCAGCCACAGACTCACCACTGGAGCACAGGTCGCACAGGAAACAGGAATCAAGGCCATTAGGGAACGACGTGAATGTCCCTGTGTCACACTTCACACACACTCCGGTGCTGTGGGGGCTCCCGCAGGGCTCGTCGACATACGTACCTGTGCACAGGGCCAGGTGCGGCGGTCAGGCCTGTTGCCAGGGCACACCTGGGGCCTCACGGTGTGCTGCCTCCCGTCCGGTCCCTGGGAGCTTGCCTCTCCGATGAGGAAACATAAATACTTAAGACTTAAGTCTTGGAGTTTGGGATCAAAATAATCCCTGAAATGTTAGGACTTCTCCAACACGACGAAGTGCCAAACTGCTGGTGACCTCGCCACCTTCTGCCCATCAGTTACTGAGGCCTACCGGGAGCAAGCATCCTGTCCAGGCTCAGGGGAAGGGCTCCCAGAAGGGCCCCCCCCACCGCCCACTGCCCCAGTCGGAAACGAGAGCAGGGGATGGCTACGTGGACGCTCTGGGTCATCGGCCTCTCCCAGGAGGGCTACCTGGGTCCCCTCTGAAGGTGTCTGAGATCTGACACATGTCCCATGTCCCATTCTAAGCACCTTGCCTGGCTGGCATGGGTCCCCTTTGCATGTTTGCTAAGCTCCAGCCAGTTCTTCCTTCTGGAAGTTTCCTCCGGGGCCTTTTGCATCTCATCTGCCTCCGCCAGCCCCCATTGCTGCCACATTAGAGGAATTTAAGTGGCCCTGGAGAATGCCTTTCACATTAGCAGACAAGTATTTATTCTACTGCACATCCAGAAAAAATTAATACACACAGTGATGGTGTAACTTCCCAAACCTCAGAGCGCAGACGAGCCCACCCATCAGGACATCAGCAGTAGAACCTCCTCCCTCGTCCGCCCAAGCCCAGCCCCACGGGAACTGGCTGCACTGTGATAGACCCTCAGACCCCGGGCATCTCCGTGACTGTCCCAGGGGGACAGAGCTGGGGTGTGGGGAGCCAGGAGGTGTGGCCTCCACCCCCGGGGCTGCACAGTAAAGGGTTAGCTTGGCGGGTTTGGCTGTCCCCCAGATCTTTGGGACTGGCCCTCGGCTGGCTCCTGGGAGGCGGCCTCTGAGCCCTCAGACTGTCCTGCCTGGGGTCTGAAAGAGTGTCACTGTTTACGACAGCAGATTGTCTTTGCTAGCACTATGATTTATGGCAAACACCTATTTCGTTCACCTGAGGCCCTGGGCCACACTCTACCAGCTTGACCTACGGAGAGGCTGGAGGCTAAGCGGCTGTAAAGAACGCTGACTGTGAAAATAGCAGCTTTTCTGGATGCTAGGAGACCTTCTAGACACTCATTGGCCTTGGGGACCCCCAATCCAGAAACATGTGTTCTCTGTGGCTAAGCATGCCGGGACTAGGGTGGATCAGCCTGGGCAAAGCCACTCACAAATGGTGTGACCTTGAGAAGCTACCTAACTGCCTGGGTCCGGCTTCCCTCCCTGCCAGAGGCGGCCCTGGATCCCACAGGCTGCAGGGCCACACCAGTCCTCCTGGACCCCCTCTGGGGTGGGGCCCAGGCTCACTCCTGGTACTAGAGGTGGGTGGGAGAGCTTAGACTGGGAGGGGCTGCTTGGCCACCCCTCCCACTCGGGACAGACAGACACACAAACTCTCCTTGGCCAGACTGGGTGGGCTGGGGCTGTGGGTGGGAGGCCTGCCAGGCATGGAAGCCCTCTCTGGGACTCACCAGCTGGGCACAATATGCAGCAGTGGCCAGAAGACCAGTACTCATGGGGCCTGCAGGACTCGGGGGCAGGGGCCACCTGCTTCTGCTCGAAAACCAAGTCAGAGTTGGTGGCGGTGGTCACCATCAGCTGGAAGAGACAAGAAACGTTTTACTAATAAACCCCTGGGACAAGCTGTGCACAAGTCATTGCTTAATTATTCCTGACGTCACCCCTGCAGTAGGTGTTTCTGCAATCCCGATTTTGTGAGTGGTCCGGTGACCTGCCCAAGGTCCTGGCTGCTTGGAGGTGAGTTAGCATGCCACCCTGGAGGGTCTTCCTAGACAGCTAGGGCTCCTCACCATACACACCCCAGCCTGCAAAGAGCACAGCCCTGCAGCCCATTCCCTTAGGGCCCGGGGCATGGGAAGGGCACGAGCAAAGGGCATGTGGGACCAGAGAATGGGCCATCTCACACTCCGACTCCTGCGTTTGGCGGTGCTATCATGCACAGGGCTCACAGGTAACAAGAATTCAGTGACATTAAAATGGCAAAGAGCTATGTGGACTGGGGGAGCACAGAAAGTGAGGCAGCTGTCACCCCATCAAGCCTGGAAGCACAGAGGGGCAGCAGCCTCCTGGAGGAGGAGGGGCTGGGCCAGACGTGGCAGAAAGAAGCCCAGACAGAACTGTGCTGCGTTTTCAGAGGGGGCCCCTTCAGAGGGTCTCAGCCCTGGCATTCCCCAGAGAAACAGCCTGGGGGCTGGGGAAGGGGGCTTCTGAAAGGCTGGGGTGGCAGCCTGAGCATCTTCCAGGCTGTGACAATATTGCCAGGCGGGGAGGGGGGCAGCATTTGTGTGGTGAGTCATCTTTGGTTTGATCTTAGGAGAGAAAGTGACAGGGATGGAGGGTGGCCATGGGCACCTGGACTCCAAAGTTGGCAGCCTCCCGAGATGATCTTAGGGAGCATGGTGCAATTAACACAAGGAATAAATAGAGGGGTGTTGAAGCACTTAACGAGCATTAATATTCAGGCAACAGAGTAAAGTGGTCCCATCGGAAGGCTAATGCGGCTGGACCGTGGGCTCAGCTGCCCGTCAGATCCTCGAGCGGCAGCACAGCAGGCATGTGGGCTTGTCTCCTTCCTGAGACTCTGCCCAGACTCTGCATCTCCAACCAAGTCTTTTCAAAAAGCTCAGAAGCTTCCCTCACCTCTCTGAAACTTTTACCTAATAAATTAGTAAATACGTTTCCAAACACCCATGGGATCACAGATATAGTATTGGGGGATGTGGAGTTTATTCTCCTCGGTTTTTGTCCCCGCCACAACAAAGAGCTGAAGGGCAGAGACACAGTAGTGGAGCAGAGGGGAGTGTGGGCAACTTGAATACACTCCAGACGAGGAGGGGGCCAGCGTCAAGACAGACAAAGGCAGGTGTACCTGAATAAAGCAGAGAGGAGGGGAAAACAGAGGGAGGAGGGGAAGGGCATTGAACAGCTGCTTGGCGTAAGGGCTTAATCCCTCGCCAACTCCTGAAGCCGCGTCCCCGGGCACCCAGCGTCCCCTTGGATCTGCACAGCGTGGAAACTCAGCCCGACCAACCCACGATCTGGGGGAGCTGCAGGGCACTGGGTGGAGTGAGATGATGTCCTGAGAACTTCCGAAGGCAAAGAGAATGGAGACTTTTGGGGCAGGCTAAGGAGCGTGACAGTACAGCTGCGGTCCCGTCCGGTCACCCCGGCAGTGGGAACTTGCAGGCCCAAATCAGAGCTCTCAGCAGCCCTTCCCTACTTATCCCGAGTAGGACAGAGAGAGTAACACACTTGAAGAAAGGGGAGTGTGGGCAACCTCAGAGGGGAGGTGTGCCTGAGGGTGCTGAGTCGGGCATTTATGGGGTTTCTTTGGGGTAGGGTCAGCGTAAGGCACGACGTGGACAGGTGACTCAGCATTCTTTGTCCACACAGGTTTATTTACACTTCTGAGGTCTGTCTCCTGCCCTGGTTACAAAGTTATTTGACTAGGGGCTGGAGCAAGAGGAAGAGACAGCATATAGGTTAAATTAAAGAATAAGCTGGGCCTTTCAGCAGGCTAAAGCAAATTTTACAATGAATGACACCATCTAATTGATACAATGAAGACATGTGCTGTGCTCCAATACTTTCCTTTATCTGGGGAATATCCTGGACATTCTAAGTCACTCCTTCCTGACCTTTGGAGTTTCAACTGATTGAAGTCATTCACTCAGTGAGTCTTCTGGCCCTCTAGTTTTACCCAGTTAACTTTTGAGTCCCTTCTAATGGGCTTTACTGGCCTTATTCTCCCTCCACGAGCTCTTATCTATTTTTCTGCCTAACAGTAGTACACTGCTGGGAACATCGAAGGCCCTCTGGGTAATTGCTTCTCCAAAATCCAGTAATCTTTAGGCCCTCTGATAGAAGAAAAGCAGCTCATCTTCCCATTAAATTGCTTTAAAAAAAATAATGTTGTTCTGAGATGTCCCAGAGTGATGTCAGGGGGGCACCAGGAATCCACCCCCTCACCTACACAGGTGCACTGGCAGGGCCTGTCCCTCCCTGGCTTACAGCTCCTAGGGGAAAGCTTGGCAGGTAGATCTCAATGAATCTGGGTTAATTTCAGCTCTTAGCATAATAGCCGTGGCCCACCCACCCCCTTCCCACCCCCTTCCCATCCTGAGGGGAGGCCCTGGGCACCTGTTCCGGGAGCAGCTCATGGGAGCCAGGGTGGGAAATAAGGACCCTGCCCCCTAACATGGGGCATCTGTGCCCTGATCACGGGGGGCTGCTTCTGACTGCAGAGGTGTGGACAACAGAGCTAGGCAGACATTGTTACAGCCCTCCCTGGCTGAAGCAGCTTCTGAGGGACTTAAAGAGCCGGAGCAGTAGCCCCCCACCCCTTATCTGTGGTTTCACTTTCTGTGGTTTCAGTTACCCGTGGTCAGCTGTGTCTGGAAGAAAATGATCCTCCTCCTGACCTAGCATCGGAAGGTCAGTAGTACCCCACGCTGTGCCACACCTCCATTACTCACCCCATTTTATATCACTGCATAAGCATTTCCCCATCTTGCATCAGCACAAGAAAAACTGTGTCTTGTATAATAAGATACTTTGAGGGAAAGACCACATTCACATCACTTTTATACAGTGTATTATTTAAAAATATTCTATTTTATTAGTTATTGTTGCTCATTTCTTATCGTGCCTCATTTACAAAATAAACCTATCATATATGTATATATATAGGAAAAATAGTATATATATAGGGTTTTAGGCACCCACTAGGGGTCATGGAATGTATCCTCTGTAGATAATGAGGAATTAAGGTATGGGGGTGACAAGCCTGGACAGGAGTGCTGCCTTTTTGAATAAGCCCACCCACTCTCTCAGAAAGACCTAGGTATCATCTTACCTGGGCTACAAGCATTCTCCAGAGGACACGTCCGCAAGCCGCAGGCCCACCTTTCCCCTGACCCCTCCTGCCAAAAGAACCTGGCCATAAAGAGCCTCTTAGCCTGTAAGAGACGCCTTCTTTGTTCTGCTGGCCAGGACAGAGGAGTCCCTCTCAGGTTGAGCAATAAACCTGCTCAGACTGTTGAGTTTGCACCCCTTCTTTTCCTTTCAAGGGGGATTTAAAAAGTCACTGTGCATGCCCAGGAAAAGATGCAGGCCCAGAAAGGACTCAAAAGAACCTGAATTCATATCTGAGGCTGACCCCCAGCACAGACACCCTACCAACCAAACTAAGTTGGGGAAAGGGGAAAATACGGTTTCCAGAGTTACTGTAAGATTCAGATGTCCAGTTTTCAATAACAAAAATCACAAGGCATACAAAGAATCGGGGCACTATGGCCTATTTATTCTCAGGAAAAAGGCAAAATGACATAAACTGTTCCTGAGGAAGACCAGAGGACAGACCTACTGGACAAAATTATAAAACTACAGGCTTAAGGATGCTTGAAAAGCTAAGGAAGGTAATGGACAAAATCAGGAACATGATATATGAACAAAACAAAAATATCAATAAAGAGAAAGAGAACTTAAAAGAGAACTAAATAATTCTGGAGTTCAAAAATACACAACTGAAATAGAAAATTCACAAGAGAGATTCAAAAGAATATTTGAGCAGGCAGAAGAAAGAATCAGAGAACATGAAGGTAGGACAACTGAAATTATGGAGTCTGAGGAAAAGAAAAAAAAAGATGAAAGAAAAGTGAACAGCACTTAAGGGACCTGCAGGACACTGTCAAACGGGCCACCATATGCACTCTGGGAGTCCCAGAAGAAGAGAGACAGCAAAGGGCAGGGATTTTTTGAAATAATGGCCTAAAGCGTCCTGATTGTGATACAAGATATGAATCTATAAATCCAAGAAGTGAATCCAACTCCAAGTGGGACGAACTCAAAGAGACTCGCAGAGACACATGATCAAACTGTCTAAAGAAGGACACAGAATCTTTAAAGCAGCAAGACAGAAATGACTCCTCACATGCAGGATTCCTCTATGAGACCATCAGCAGATTCCCCATCAGAAACCTTGGAATTCAGAAGGCCATGGGCTGATATGGTCAAGATGCTCAAAGGAAAAAACTGTCACCCTACAACTCTTATCCAGCAAAACTGTCCTTCAAAAATGAAGAGAAGTCAAGACATTTCCAGATAAACAAAAGCTGAGGGAGTTTGTTACCATTAGCCCTGCCTTGTAAGAAATGCTCAAGTGAGTCCTGCTGAAATCCTTTCCTCTTGAAAGGATACCACAAAGTAATTCAAGGCCGTATGAAGAAATAAAGATCTCTGATAAAAGTAAATATGAAGACATTGTAAAGACAAGCATTATTATAATTTTGGTTTATAACTTCACTTTTTATCTTCTATGTATTTAAGAGACAAATGCATAGAAAACAATTAGTAATGTTTTGGGACACACAATAAAGATGTGATACTGTGACATTAACAATAGAGGGGATGGGGATGGAGCTACCTAGGAGAGTTCTCGTACACTACTGGCGGTATGAATTGGCATTAATTAGATGTTATAATTTTAGGATGTTAGATGTAATCTCTAAGATAATGACACCTGAAAAGAAATGAGAAGTGATTTAAAACTTTCACTACCAAAAAAATAAATACAAAAG